GAAAAAGATAGACGTAGGATGAAGTGAGAGCACGGATGAGAGCATGGGAAGGGAGCAGGCAAGCCGTATCCCTTTCGATCACCGCCACACCACACACCCGACCCAGCCCACCCCGCCGCCGCCACCGCCACCGCCTGGGACGTGAGGAACACTGCCGCCCGCGGCCACCACCTCCACCGCCGGCGACCGGAGACCGGCCGCGCCACAACACCACGGCTGGTTCGCCCTCTCTCCCCTCCCTTCCTCTCTCCCTCCCTTCCTCTCTCCCTGCGAGATGTTGTTGCTGCCACCGCCGGCGTGTTTCTATTGCTGAAACCCTAGTAATTGATATGTTCTTTGTTTTTTTTCATGTCTTGTAGATTGAATGGATCCTCTGGATTTCTTGGTTGTGCAATTCCATTTCAATGGTGCATTTGTGTGTGACGGTCAGATTTTAGAATATGTTGGAGGTAGGGAGGAAATTGCTCATGTCGAGCGGCGGACTTTGTCCTTAGGCAGTATCATTGTTAATCTGAAAGGCATTCCAGTGTTGCTCGACGAGACATCATGCAAAGCAAGAAATGGCACAGGAAGTTCAAATACACCAACCCAGCAGCCTCCTGTGCAAGGCCTAGGTCCTGCTAGAAGCAAAGCATCATCAGCTGCTTCCAAACAGCCTGCTGCAAGCCAAACAGCAACAAGCAGCCAAACATCATGCGCTAGTCAAGGTCCAGATATGGTAAGCTATCCATTCAATCGAACAAACCTGATTACAGTACCATGTATATAACTAACATTTGTCATGTTTCTTATAGCCTTCAAGGCAGAGCAGCACTAGGCAGAGCAAGAGGAAGGCCACGGAGGAAATGCCGGCATCTAACCAAAAGAGAAGGTCGCCAACTAAAAGTAGCAGTAGGTCCAACAACTTCTCTGGAAATACAATTAATGTGCAAAGAAGCTCCAATGTTAATGTGAATGTATTTACCGGCAATTCTAGCGCTAGAGCTAGCAGCAAAGTTGTCAAGGAGAGTGTTAGTGCTAGTGCCAGGCGCAAGGGCACGGGCAAGCGCAAGTATGCAGGGATTCGAAGCCTGCTAGGATTTGACCGTTGAATCAACTAGCAACATAGTTGTCTAGCAATGAACTTATGTGTGTATCAACATATTGATGCATCAAGATCCGTGCAAACACATTTGTCTTTTTTGTTTCTCTCAAACGACACAACATATGAACTTCAAATTTTGCAGAACAACAATACATTCTAACTACAATATAGGAAAAAACTTTCAGATTTTTTCATGCATTTTAAATACTTGAAATAATATTTTTATTCAAAGAAAATCTCATTTTGTATATTTATATCAGACCAAAAAATCTGAAAGTTTTTCACACATTGATGTTCTAATGTTTGTTCGGTCTGCAAAGTTTGAAGTTCATATGTTGTTTCATTTTCGAGAAACAAAAAAGAGAAATCTTCTTCTTGTTAGTTAGTTGGAGAGTACGAATCTCAAAGCAAGGCTGGAGGGTTGAGGATAAGAGGTTTCATGTAGCCTGAGCTACAAAAAAACTTTGTGATTGATGTATGTGAGACATCTATGTATTGTATGTGAGATATCTATATATTGTGTTTGGGACATCTATGTGTTGTATGTTTGAGATCACTTTTGTGTGTGTTTGAGATCACTTTTTTCACATGATGACCAAATGCTACCAAAATGCTGCCAAATTTTTTACCTGAAAAAGAAGTGCCTAGAAAATTCTGAAAATTTTTACACAACAACACTCATATGATGTATAGAATTCTGGAAAATTTTCAACTTAATTGGGTTAACAGATTGAGAGAACCATCCATTTTCCAAATTCAGCCACTATTCGGTCAAAAATTTGACCCGAAAAAAAAGTGCCCAGAAAATTCTAAAAAATTTACACAACAACACTCATATGATGTATAGAATTCTGGGAAATTGTCAACTTAATTGGATTAACAGAATGAGAGAACCATCCATTTTCCAAATTCAGCGACTATTCGGTACGTACGTGGCATGGTGACTGGACTTTCCAGTCAACTTTGACTACTCCCTCCTTTCATCTATATATGGCCTAATGCGTTTATCGAGGCTAACTTTGACCAAATAGTAAAGCAATAATATATGACATGCAACTTACACAAAGCACACCGTTAAATTCGTGTGTGAAAGGAGCTTTCACTGATATAATTTTTACATTGTGCATGTCATGTACTATTAATCTTGTCAATAGTCAAATGCAGTCTTAAAAAACGCATTAGGCCCTATATAGATGGGAGAAGGGAGTAGGTTAAAACCACTTGACCAGCTCGAAACTGAGTCAAGGGTTGTAATCTGGACCCTGTGACAAGTTGAGGGTTAAATACAACCGGTTTCAGATATTAGGGTTGAAAATCAAACCACGTGGTTAGTTGAGGGTTGGAATGTGGACTTTTTTCGTGTGTAGAATTGTAGATAGAGGTGCTGAAGTTAAGTCATGCAAGAAAATAGAAATGGCTGGCGGACGCTCCTCTCTGCCACCAAATACTCCATTCATTCCATGATGCAGGCTGTATACATTATCTTAAAAGTCAAACTAAGCAAATTTTGACTGAGTTTACAGACTATTTATATATACAATTCCAAACATATACAACATGATATAATTGATGATGTATCCAATGATATGCATCTCGTATCATAAATATACATATTTTTGTTTATAAACATGGTCAAAGCTTGTAACATTTGACTTTTTGCAAAAATCTATACGTACTATATGTTGGAATAAGCCACGGCGTCTAGTGTAATCGGGCTCGTCGGGCATGTCGGGTGCCCGCGGAATATGCGGGGCGCACTGGTTTGGTCGGGCTCGTCGGACGCGTTGGGTGCACGTGAGACATGCGGGACGCAGCGGAAGCGTGGTGGTGTGAAGCCGCGGTGCTGTGCAAAGCAGCATAGTCGTGAGAAACGACCGGGCGCGCAAGGGGCTAGAGCGCTGGACAAACCAGTTGGAGGCTCGGAGCTGTGGCGTAGGATTAGCTGGTCTGTTGCCGCGTCACGGTGACAATATGTGCCGAGCCGAGGGGGAGGGGCCTAAGGAAGATGTAATCTCCGTCAGGACTATGGTATGCGCCCGGTCGATGTGAGAGTTCTTCCGGGGTTGTGCTGCTGTGTGCGTGTGTACCTCCATGTATGTGTGTTTGAGTAGGTGAGTTGAATAGAAGCCAACATACAAGCCGTTCGGCGGCCGGGACGTTCGGCGCCGAAAAATTCTATTCATCCTCTTCTACCTTCGTCCGGCATTTGTCGCCGGGGGGCGGTTCGGCGTATGTCACCGATGGGTTTGTCCCAACAATTGGTATCATGAGCTTGGTTGTCTTGGGCGTGGTTCGCCGTGCCGGAGGCGTGGCGGCGATGGCGGCGTTTGTCGGCGGATGCGCGAAGCTCCGGGCTGTGTGTCGTCCTATGGAGGTGCGTGGCGCTGTGGCTGTCCTAGTGGACAAAGAGGAGGCGCGTGGTGAGTCCGCGACGAGCACGACGGGCATGGAGGTCGCGGCAGCGCGGTTCCGGTGCACGGCGAGCGCATGGCGGCGACGACGCACAACAAGTGCGGATGCGGTGGTGGCACACGGCTTCGACATCGAGCGACGCGGCAACCATGGCGCGGGCGCGACGAGCACACGACACGTCGTAGCGGGTGTGGAGGCACGCGATGGCGTCGAACGAAGGCGTCCATGACGACGACAACGACAAGAGCTGCAACAACTCTGGCAACGTCGAGGTCGTGGCTTAGGGGCTGTGTGTTGGAATAAGCCACGACGCCTGGTGCAGTCGGGCGCGTCGGGTGCGCATGAGACATGCGGGACACATTGATGCGGTCGGACTCGTCGGATAAGTTGAATGCGCGTGGTACGTACGGGACGCAGCGGAAACGTGGCGGTGTGAAGCCACGGTGTTGTGCAAAGCAGCATAGTCGTGAGAAACGACCGGACGCGCAAGGGGCTAGAGCGCTGGACGAACCAGTTGGAGGCTTGGAGTTGTGGCGTAGGATCAGCTGAGTCTGTTAGTTTGTTAGGGCATGTACAATCGTTCCGACGCTCGGTGTTTGTAAAACTTCTCCACGTCACTTATAGACAGCTCAAGTGACACCCTGTACAATAAGGAGTCTATTTGACTGTTGATAACCACCAAATTTCACGCGAAATGGAAAGGTAGTTTCCGCGGAAGACGAATCCCATCAGACGAGCTCTTCGTACAACGGCAAATATACTGTCGGTAAGCAGCGGCTTTGGCGCTAATAGATCGTCTTTATTTCTATCGACGGACTGATGAATCCCATCAGACGAGCTCTTCGTACAACGGCAAATATACTGTCGGTAAGCAGCGGCTTTGGCGCTAATAGATCGTCTTTATTTCTATCGACGGACTGAGTCGTTATTTTTTTTCTCCGCCCCACGTCATCAAATTTCCTACGTGGG